CTCACAACTTAGAATCTTGTAGAGTTCAGGTTAGCCTCGAACTTCTGATCCACCTGCCTCTATCTCTTGAGTACCTGGATGCCTGTTTATGTAGTATTAGAGATGGAACCCAGGACTACATGCACGCTAGACAAGCATTCTACCACCCAGCCATGTCTTTAGTTCCTTTCTGGTCATCAGGGAAGGGTTCCTGGGCTTGTCACCTCTGGTAGAGGCAGTCTCACCTTCCCAGCTATCCTGACTCACCTGAGACATGCCCTCCATGTCCAGTTGCATCAGCTCTGTCTGGTTCACTTGCAGCAGAGCGAGGCCAACTCGGAACACAATCTCCAGTCCCTGCAAAAGCAACCATAGCCCGCAAACCTTCAGTTCTCCCAGCCAAAGGCCCCTGTCCTCCCATCAGTGAGCTTCCTATCCTCCCACCGGGAACTCAAACCCTCCTCACACCCTAGCCCTTCTTTTGTCCAGTTGATTGGTCATGATTCTTTCTTGGGGTGGGATGTGACTCCTTCCACATGCAGAGTGGAGTGGGCAGGGGTGCCCTATGGGGGCACTCACCTCGTACATAAAGATGTCAAAGACCCGGGTGGCAACAGGCAGGGGGAAGGTGGTAAGGAAAAGTGTGAGGAACCAAGATGATGCATACATGGATGTGTGGAAGCTCTGTGATCGGAAGTGGGTGTTCAGGTCCGGAAGCTGCTCCTGTGTGGGGAGAGGGAGGCTGGTGGGCATGGAGAAGGAGGCATTGAGCCTCAGTGCCCCTCACCTCCAAGGAGCATTGGGGACCCATCCTAGGTCCCCCCCCCCTTAGGTCCTTTTTCAGCTACTGTGTTTGGGGACGCTGAGGCATACTGGAACGCTGAGTGACACGGGGATGAGAGCAGGGCTTGAGGAAAGGCCTGTCAAAGTGCGACTGACTTCCACTTCTGGCTGCTAGATAGTAGCGGACCACTGGGGAAACTAGCTAGAGAAGGTGTCTTCTCTAGAAGCTCTAAGAAGAGCTTAGGGGCTTCCCCCTGGAGCCAGTGACTCTGTTCTATAGATGCACATTTACTTGGCTCTGTAAATCTTAGGCTGTGAAGGTCTTAGGTATTCCAGTCTGGGATTGCTATCACTTAACTTTGAGGAGAACAGATGCTGGGAATCAAATTATTTTCTATTTGTGGGTATGTGTAGGAAGTGTGTATCTGTTCATATGTGTGTGTATGTATAAGGGTGTGTGTGTGTGTGTGTGTGTGTGTGTGTAGGTCAGAGGTTGATATTGCTATCTTCTTTGATTCAGTCTCACTATATGGCCCTAGATGTCCTGGAACTTACTATGTAGATCAGGCTGGCTAATGAATTCACAGGGGTCTGACTGCCTCTGCCCTCTGCCTCCTAAATGCTGGGATTAAAGGCATCCATTACCATATCTAGCTGCCTCTACCTATTTTTTGGTCTAAAAGCAAGTTCCAGGACAGCCTACAGAGAAACCCTATCTCAAAAAAGAAAACAAAAATAAACAACAAAAAATGTGTGTACCACCATGTCCAGCTATGAAGTTTCTTTTCTTTTTGTGGAGTAGGGAAGTATATTGGGGATCAAACCTAGACTCTCACAAATGCTAGGCAAACCTGCTACCCCAGCCCTCTACATTCATTTTTGTAGGTGCCTAACCTCCTGTCTGTGTGACTATAATTCCTATGGAGCTCTACTCCCCTGTCCTCAGAACCTAAAAGGGGCCTTCAGTGATAACTCACTGGGGGCACAGTTTTCTTGCCATGGGCTCCTTTCTGTAGATGGCCAGTATGTATGAGAGTATAAGAATGGTGTGTACATGCGTGTGTGTGCAGCATAAACACTTAGGTTCTGTCTGCCAGCCAGGAGTGAGCCCTGTGGGGGATGCTATTTATAAATGGAGACGTCTGCAGCTTCCCTGTAATCAGCAGAGGCAGGCAGACAACACTTTTTCCTCCTTCCACCACACCCTTAGCACATGGAGCCAACCCTCTTCCTCCCACTCTGCTTTAGTGGTTCTGGGAGCCCCTTTCAGAGTCAAGGGGCCTCTGTCCTGGCTAGCCTTGTCCCTCCCAGCATGCTCCAGGATTGTGTTTTTACATCTCTGGGGGACAAGACAGGAGTCCCTTTCTGGGCCTGCCTCTCCCTCCCTCCCTTCCTTCTGTTCTTACTTCCCTCTCTTCCCATGTCCCCTCACTTCTTCCTTTTCCTCCGCCTCAGAACTAGGGATTGAAACCAGGACTCTTACACATGTTAAGCAAGTCAATGACTCGTGCTCCAACCTCCCAGCTCTTAGTACAGACCCTCACTAAGTAGCCTAGAGTGGCCTTGAACTTTTATCCTCCAATCTCATAAACCCAAGCATTAGGCTCAAGGTATGTACCTCCTTGACAGGCTCCAGGAACATTACTTCTGCCACCTCTCTCCTGAACCCCTTTCTCTTTCAGACAGGGTTTCAGCCAGAAACTCAGGCTGGCTGTGAAACTATACAGTTGAGACTGACCTTGAATTTCTGATCCTCCTGCCTCAACCTCTTAAGTTCAGGATGACAGATGTGTACTACCATGCCTAGTTCATAAAGTGCTAGGGATGGAGCCCAAGGCTTTATGCATGATAAGCAAATATCCTACCAACTGAGACACATTTCCAGCTCCCAAGGGTGACTTTTCAGGCCTAGCATTTCCAGTTTGGGGGCTTTCTGGAGATAGCTGGCCTGCTTACCTGTAGCATGTACTCAAATTGGTAGATGCAGAGTCCCAGCTCAGCCATACTAGGTTTGAAGAGCTCCCGCAGCCGGTACTCCTGCATCAGTCGCACGAACACACAGAACGCCTCCTCCTCAGGCATCTGGAGAGACCAGCAGTGTGTGTGTGTGTTGAGCAACAGAAGGGCATACTAGGACTCTGGACAGTGACATGGTACACAGGGGCCTGTTTCTGTCCCAATTATATTTATTGTTACTATATTTGGCTATTAGGACCCATCCAGTAGACCATAAATATGGTCAGTACCGTGTGCTGATGGAAAACACATAGCTGATGTTATTTGCGAGGGCCACTGGCAGGAAACAACGGAACTGTACCTAAACCTTGCTAGTAGTGCTCCAGTCTCATCTACCTGGTCGGGACATCCCCATTCATGCCTAACTGTCTTTCTCCCTGTCCTATGCCTTCTGATTTCTCTGGAGGAGTCCCTGAGCCCCCATAAACACCTAAATCCTTGACCTATGGTTCTTCCCTGTCTCTGTCCTGGATGATACAGTATCAGGACCCAGGCAGTACAAGTGCCTAGCTCCACTGTATCCATCCACTGGGGGATTAGCCTGGCCTTTGTCAGAGGTCATAGTGAGCTGGCTGCTGAGGAAGGCTCTGGCCCTAGGAGGTCACTGGATCTTGTGCCCATTTCTTGGAGATGGACCCCAGGGTGGTCACTTACCTGCATGAGGAGTAAGCCCACAATGAAGGCACTGCCCTGGCAGTAACCCACTTCCCGATCAACCAGGGAGTATGCCTGGAAGGGAAAGAGATTGTGTGAATGCAGGGTTCTTACCAGCCCCCACAGAGCCATCTCAAGTGGGGTTGTTGCTAAGGTGGCTAGAGCCAATGCTGGGGTCTTACCTTCATGACGTTGAAGAGGACTTCCTGGCCCAGGCTGTCCTGGCCTTTGAAGAACTCATGCTCTGGGTAGGTGCGGGCAATGTCCCTGCGGATCAACTTCTCGCATGGTGAGGACATCTTGAGTAGCTCTGAGTACTGGTTCTTGACAGGCATATCTGTGGCACTGCACAGGAGCTGCCAAACGATGGCCCGAAAGTGATGTGGGATGCCCTTCCGGATCAGCTCCTGTTATGGGGAGGGGTGAGGTAGGGAGAGAGGCCAGGGCTGGGCTTTGCCCCATGCACTGCAGCCTTCCCAAGGCCAACCCAATCCGTGCTTTAAAATGGTACAGAGGACATCTGAGTCACTCCTTAGCTAATCATGGTGCTGACTGAGGGCTCCCCCATCCTTCAGTGACTCCTTTATCACTAAGCGACAAACCCAATTTTCATGTCTAGTTTCTGTTTGTGTGTATATTCATATATATGTGCATGTGCGTACATGGAGGTCAGAGGTCAGGCTCAGTTGTCACTCCTTAAAGGTATCTGCCTTGGTTTTTGTTTTGTTGTTATGCTTTAAATTGCATTATTTATTTATTTATTTAGTGTGTGTGTGTGTGTGTGTGTGTGTGTGTGTGTGTGTAGTATATACCACAGTACACAAGTGGAGGTCATAGAACAACTTCCATCTGCATTTGAAGGAATTGATTTCCTCCTATCATATGGGACCTGAGGATAATTCAGATTATTAATCTTGACAGTAAGTGTCTTTACCTGCTGAGCCATCCACAGTGTATTTTGAGACAGGGTCTCTTACTAGGCTGGGGCTTGTCCACTGGTTAGGCTGACTGACCAGAGAACTCAAGGGATCTGCCTGTCTCTGCCTCCCTAGTGCTGGGATTACAAGCATGTGCCAGCATGCTCATCTTTTTACAGGTGCTGGGAATGAACTTGAGGTCTTCAAGCTTATACAGCAAGCACTTTAGAGATAGAGGTATTTCCCCAGCACATATATATATATTAAGTCATTGGCTTTTTGACACGAACTTTCACTATGCAGTACAAACTGGCCTTCAGCTTGCAAGCCTCTTGCCTCAGTTTCTTCCGCGTAGGGGTCATAGGTATTCGCCATCACACCAGAGCAGAAAGCAAGCAAACATAAAGACCTTTGCCATCCTGCCCCTCCATCTGCACATCTCCACTTGGGCCCTTCTGCCTAAGCTGGGCTACCTGGCCCTGCCTGGTGGATAAAGGATCAGGCCAGATTCATACTCATCCCACATCTGCCTCAGGCCACCTTGAGTAGCTTCTCCTTCCTGCGCCGCCACTCTTCCCACTCATTGGCAATGCGGCCCCAGAGAATCCATGTGTCCTCCTCCAGGTGGCTCAGGTTAGAGGAGGCTGAGGAGCTGGATACCAGTGAGGAGCCGCTGTTCCTCCGGGAGCCATTCATGGAGCGCATGGACTTGGAGTCGGCTTCCAGAAGCCTGGGAGAGAGGAGGCCAGAAAATTCCAGTAAGTCATCCTGGACTAGGGCCCTCTGGAGTGCTTGATCTCTTAGACTAGATCCATGTTGCCTTCCTTTAAGAACTTTTATCTCTGTATGTGTATGTGATGTGCTTATAGGCACACATGGAGGCCAAAAGAGAGCACTGGATCTCCTGGCGCTGGAATGACTGCGAGCCACACAATATGGGCATTGGGAATTGAATTTGGGTCTTCTGAGAGAGCAGCAAGTGTTCTTGACTGCTGAGCCATTTCTCCAGCCCCCTTGCTGCCTTTCTTGCTAAGTGACCTTAGCCAGTGACCTAACCTCCCTAGCCGTGGCACTTATCTACTGGCCCTTGGAAAGTCATTTGTGTGTTCTTCTGTACCAAGCACTGGGCTGAGTGTGTGTTTCTGTCATCTCGTTCTCAGACCAACCCTGCACAGCAGATTTAGGGATGGTCTACACTTTATAGAGGTGCTCAGAATGCAAGTTCTGGCTGAGGGCAGTTACAGAGTGCCGAGGACACTGGAGTTTAGTAACCATGCCCTTTTCTTTTTTCCTTCCTTCTCTTTCTTTATATGCATATGTATGTGCATGTGCACGGCTGTTCACGTGCATGTGGAGGCTGGAGGTCAACCTTGGATACTGTTCAGGAATCCATATTATTTTTTGGAGACAGGGTCTCTCATGAACTTGTACCTCTCCAATTAGGCATGGGTGGCTGGTTAGTGAGCCTCAGGAATCTGACTGTCCCTACCTCCTGGTTGCTGGAATTACAAGCATGTGTCAGCATTCAGTATGACTACCTTTTCTTTTTCTTTTTTCTTTTCTCCTTCCTTCCTTCCTTCCTTCCTTCCTTCCTTCCTTCCTTCCTCCTTCCTTCCCTCCCTCCCTCCCTCTTTTCTTTTCTTTTCTTTTCTTTTTTTCTCTTTTTTTAAGGCAGAGTCTCACTATGCAGCCCTGGCTGTCCTGGAACTCAGTATGTAGACCAGGTTGTCCTCAAACTCATAGAAATTCACCTGCCTCTACCTCCTGAGTGCTAGGATTAAATGCTTGTATGACTAGTTTTTAAGGTGGATTCTGGGGATTGTATTCAAGGACTTTACAAATAAAACTATCTCCCCTCCTTCCTTCCTTCTTTTTTATTAAAAAAATAAGTTTTCTTCTCCTTCCTCCTTCTCCCCCTTCTTCTGCTCCTCTTCTTCCTCCTCTTCCTCCTCCTCCTCCTCCTCCTCCTCCTTATTATTATTATATTTTTGGTTTTTCAAGACAGGGTTTCTCTGTATATTTCTCTGTATATCCCTGGCTGTTCTGGAACTCACTTTGTAGGTCAGGCTGGCCTCAAACTCAGGGCCAGGATCCACTTGCCTCTGCTTTCCGAATGCTGGGATTAAAGGTGTGCACCACAATACCCAGAATAATTCTTATTTTTAAATATTTCATTTTGTTTCTATTCTAGATCTTTTGCCTGCATGTCTGAGCACCATTATATGCTTGGTACTCAAAGATCAGAACTCCAGTTCCAGGGAACTGGATTTACAAATAGCTGTGAGCCACCATGTAGATATTGGGAATTGAACCCAGATCTTCTGGAAAACCAACTAGCTAGTGGCTTAACCACTAAGCTGTATCTCTAGCCTCCCTCCTGCTATTATTTTTTTTTTGAAATGGAGATTGAATTTAGGGACCTATACATTCTTGGTGAGTGTTCTACCATTGATAACTCTAACCCTTTATTTTAAAACAGGATCTGGTTACAAAGCCCAGGCTGGCCTCAACCTCTTGATCCTCCTCCTGTAGCCATTCATGTGCTGGGATGATAGGACCTTTTATGACACCTTTGACAGCTTTATAGACTCTGGATAGATGAAGGACTAGATGGTCCCTCCTAGGGCTAGGCTGTTATTAAAAACAGAAAAGGCCCACAAGCTTGTGAATGAACTTTAATATGCAAATCAACCAATCCAGCGTCCACACCCTAACCACTTCCTCCATCAAGCTTTTACACTCTGCTCACTCCCAGCAGCTTATCTCACCCAGGGCTGAGGAGTATCCAGCACCCAGGGACAGACCTCTAGCCAGAGCTAACTGAAATGCTTCAAGCCAGTGAATTGTATGCTTGCCTGCCCTGCCTCGCCCACTCCTGCCCATGGAAACCAACAAAAAGGTTCTTGCCAGCATTTTCCTCAGGCTCTAGTCTGCCTCCTGACTGACGGGTTGTTTCTTCTCCTCTTGGGAACTGTAAGTAATAAAGTACCTTTTTGTGGCCAATGTCTCCAGATCTGCTGGATTCACTTCATTCCTGAGTAATGATATAAGCCCAGGGTTGTGACTCAGTAGTAGAGCTCCTGCCTAGAATATCTCTGTGAGGGGCTGTGGGCATGATTCTGTGGTAAAGCATTCCTCTAGAATCCCTCAGTGAGGGTCTGGGAATATGGCTCAGCAGTAGAGGTCCTGCCTGAAATCCCCCAGGGAGGGGATTTACAAACAGACAGAAAACTCAAAGACACCCATCCCATGCTACCCCAAACAAAACAAAACCAGACCTCTAAGATAGGGCCAGCTGGGAGCCTTAACCTCTTCCTTCAAAAATCACTTTGTAAATGGCAGTCAGATTCATCTGACCTTTTGAAATATAGGTTTCCTCTTCTAGATGAGGGACCCAATTTATTGAGCCCAGATAGCAAGGATGAAAGAGAAACCTTTCAGCATCTTGTGGTAGCTGTAACTGTGTAGCCCAGGTTCAGCTTTCAGTGTGAAGGTTGGGAACCCAGGAACCAGCCTCCCTCCTCAGCCTCCCTCCTCCTCACTCACCGGTTCTGCTCTTCGAGCTTGGCCAGCAGCTCTAGCTCATCTGGGCTGAGGTTCTCAGAGTCAGAAGTAGGGGAGCAGGTGGGTGCTGACAGTGCCTCCTGAGATGAGGAGTCGGGACTCAGAGTGGGACTCGCCATGGTGGGCAGACTCATCAGCCAAGAGGGGAGGCGAGGTTATAGCTCTGTCTGGGGTTAGAGATATATGTAGTTAGCACTGGTGGATGCCCGCCTTGGACTGTCAGCTCTGGGCCAGCAGAGTCTGCCTGCTCACCCTGAGAACACTCTATCATCTCAGACTTCTCACTTCTGATCTACTACCAGTTGTACCATAGACTCTGTGCTGCAACCTATCCAATAGTCCAAGATCAGATCCAGCAGTAGGGCCTAGGCCAGAGGCTTCCTATCACTGGAGGTCCCAAGGATCCTATGTGAAACTTCAGGGGTACAGAATCCCCTGTTCTGGTGACCTTTTCTGACTATGTTCTGCCCTCTGCAGTGGCTTGCCTTGGGAGCCTCATGGTGGCATTTGACTTGCCCCGTCTCATCAAGAAGAGTGTGCTGCTGGCTCAGACAAAGCAGTTACTCTCCACTGTTAATTGTCTGGCGTTGTCAATGGCTGGAACAATAATGTCTTCTTGGCTGGGAAGCAAGGCCACTGACATCAAAGTGCCAGGAACCAGTGTACTAAGTGGATACACAGTGGGGCTGAAGGTTCAGAGGGGGCATCCTGATCTTAGTATCTACAGGCCAGGGCTTCTTTCCTACTTTTCCTGGGGTCATCTACTTAGCCTTCTGGGGGCTTTTGAGGATACTGCCTTTCTTTTTTTTTCCTGCCTGTCTGGTGATAAAAACAAATGCTCCTCAGGATTGGGAAATAGCTCAGTTTATAAAGTATGTGCCACATAAGCATGAGGACCTGAGTGAGTTAGATCCCCAAGACTCATGTAAAAAATGCTGGTATGGTGGTGTGTGCTTTAATCTCAGTTCTGGAGGGATAGTGGCAGGAAGGTCCTTGGGGTGCACTGGCCAGCCAGCCTAGCTAAATTGTTTAATTTCAGACTATTGAGAGATCCTGTCTTTAAAAAAAAGCCCATGACCTCTTCCAGAGGACCTAAGTTTGGTTCCCAGCACCCACATCAAGGGTTTCACAACTGCCTGTAACTCCAACTCCAAGGGATTAGATTCCTTCTTCTGGCCTTCAAGAACAGACAAATACATGATGCACATACAAAATTAAAATGTAAAAATAGATATAAAGTAGATAGATAGTGGACAGCATCTAGCAACAGTTGAGGTTGTCCTCTGGCCGCCACATGCACACTCACTCACTTGTGCAACTCTATACACATATAAAAATGAAACAAAAAAAGCTGTAGACTCGTATAAAGCCAGGTGTTTGAAACCTGGCTCTTTGTCAATGAACTATGTGATTTTAGGCTAGTCACTGAGCTTCTCTGGTCTCTAGAGACTAGGATACATTAAGACCAGTCTCAAAGGGTAGCTGTGAACCAAGCATGCTATGTATAGCATATGACATGACTGTCCATCAATGTCGGCTGCTATTATCTCTCCTGAGACAATGACTGGAGGAAGTCTTTCTGAGAACTGGAGTTCCTAGGGTTTGCTATGGTACGAAGGGGATTGGAGGCCGAGTTGGCATTTCCCTGGTAGGGAGCATTTCCGGGTCAGAAAATGCATTGGAATGGTCTGTAGAAATGCTTAGTGGATAAAACATATATCAGTGAAGACATGGGTTTGGAAGTCTACAATCTACCTAACACTAACGTGGTAGCACATACACTTTTCTAATCCCAGTCCTCCCAAAGTGGGATGGGAGGCAGACAAAGGAGAATCCCTAGCAACTTGTAGGCCAGCTAGCGTGGAGTACACAGTGGCCACCAACAGGGGACCCTGACATCCACAGTTCTCCTTAAGATCTCCAAATACAGATCATAGTACATGTTCACTTGTACTCACACACATGAACATGTACACACACACACAAATACACACAGATACAGATGGCACACAGATTAAAAATAAAAAAGGCAAAGGCTCTGGGAGGGAAGGCAGAGGCTGGGAACATGTTACTCTTGTCTAGCTGTATTTCCTCTTTTGAGGCCAGCCAATATTCAGGGTCTGAGAACATGGAGAATCCTGAGGCTGTGGAGGCAGGAAGAAATCTCTGCTCCAGCTTGATTACATAGCATGGTACCTTTATGCCTGCCCATATCCTCCTGTGTTTTATCCCAGAAGTCTGCTCTATGTTCCTGAACCCAACCTGACCCAGTTTTGACTCATGGTCATGGAAAGGGCCTCACATGGTCCCTGCAGAGGGACATCTGATTTCCTGGACAGTGGGGAAGAGAAAATATGAGAAGAACACTGCTCACCCATCTGCACGGAGCACCTTCCGAGTCCCTAGTCAACTCCAGGGTTCCCAGGTCAGGTGAACTTCACCCTATCCATGAGTTTACTCATGAGCTTTTCTCCATTGATGCTCTATTGTGGGTGGGGCTCTGGGTTTCATAGCTCTCATTTCATCTTGTGAGGATCTCAGAATTTTCCCTCCTCAGGAACTTGGCTTCCTACAGGACCTGTGATAAAGGGTCTATCTCCATCCCTGAGTTCTTTCCAAATCTTTTGGGAGGAGAGTACTCTGGAATTTGGTTCCCCCCCTCTCTGTTTGTGTATACTTGCATGTGGAGGCCTGAGGTTGATGTCAGAAATCATCACTGATCACTCTTCTACCTTATTCATGGAGGCAGGGTCTGTTAATCAAAGCTTAGGCAGACTACTACTGCCTGGCATTTCTGTGGGTTCTAGCGATTGGAACACCAGTCCTAAACTGCATAGTAGGTGCTTTAATCCCTCCCAGGCCAGGGTTATAGGTTTCTGGGAGTGCCAGGCTTGCTGGGGATCCTAAAGTGCTGAACCAGGAGTTAAAAGTTACTAATTACTGAGGGAGAGACGGGCTGCTACAGAACCTCCTGCAGTATCAAAGTCTGTGGTTAGACAGGCTGTGACCACACAGTGCTGAGGCAGAATGACCTTTCTAGGCAAGACTAGCCTCAGGATTGGGAAAACACTGAAGAGGTAGTGGATGCAGGATGAGAACTCTAGAAGTACTACTGGATTTGGGGAGCATTGAGAGGTCAGGGCAAGAGCACCTATGGATAATGAGGTAGTCTGGGACTACCCAGTGTCTGATAAGCAGAGAGGGCCCAGTCTTAGAGTGGGCTCCACCCTTGCTCTCCTCATTCATACTCCCTCCCACACAGACTTTCACACACATACACACACTCTGATAAATACATATTCACACACACATTCATGCACATATAGTCTCACATATACGCACTTGGACATACATTCATAAATATTGACACATATACAACACGTCCACACATTCTCAGATTTATACTCTTGGAGTACATACGTATTCTTTCACACTCAGACATACCGCATACGCACAGGCTACTTGTCACTCACACATATTCTCTTGAAGTTCATCAATATCATGCTCCTCAGCTTTATGGTCCTGTGGCACGGCTGGTGGAATTCTCTTGTTAGTTTAATGGAGGTGGGAAGACCCACTGTGGGTGGGACTATTCCATGAGAGTGAGTGAAGCACTAGAGCTTTGTCTCTCTGCTTCCAGATTGCGAACACAATGCATCCCTGGAATCTCTGCTGCTTGTGACTACCCTGACATGATGGAGTGACATGAAACTGAGCCAGAATACATCCATTCTCCCAAAGATGCTTTTGTCGGGATATTGTGTCATAACAAACAGAAAGTAAGACAGTAGTCCAGGTTGGCCTCAAGCTTGTGATCCTCCTTCAGCCTCCTGAGTACTAGGTATCACAGGTGTCAGCCACCACATCTGTCTCACGGCTTCTGAAGTTGAGTCAGAGCAGAGGGCTGGGAAAAGATAGTGCTGGTGGGCAAGGATTGTGAGGGATAGAAAAGCCCAGATGTCTAGTGTCTCTGAGTTCCTTTCCCTTCTCCCTCACTGGCATTTGGGTGCTGTTGGCCATTCTTTTTTTCTTGAAGTTCTCTCCTATCTAGTTACTAAGCAATGCCCTCTGTTTATTTTCTCACCTCTCTGGCCAGGGCATCCTAGTCACCTGTGTGTCATCTCTCCTTCCATCACTGTGCAGGGCTTCTTGTAGCCTGGGCTGGTCTCAGACTCACAACGTAGCTAAGGATGCCTTTGCATTCCTGATCTTGCTGTCTTCATCTCTAAGTGCTAGGATAACAACTTCTGCATAAGCCTTGCCTGATTTATTCAGGGATGGAATCCAAGGTTTGTGCATGATAGGCTGAGCTAATATCCTGGTGCATTTAGAGTTTTAATTTTATTTTTTAAAGATTAGTTTTCTGGCTGGGTAGTGTTGGTGAAAGCCTCTAATCCCAGCACTTGGGAGACAGAGGCAGGCAGATTTCGGTGAGTTCAAGGCCAGCCAGGTCTACACAGCAAGTTCCAGGACAGCCAGGGCTATACACAGAGAAACCCTGTCTTGAAAAACCAAAGATATATCTATATCTATATCATATATATGTGTGTATGTGTGTGTTTCTTTGTGTGAATGTTTATTGCTTGTATGTCAGTGCACCACACATGTGCCTAGTGCCCGTGAAGGTCAGAAGGCAGCACTGGATTTTCTTGAACTGGAGTTAAGGATGGCTGTGAGCCACCAGATGGGTGCTCTTAACTATGGTGTCATCTCTCTAGCCCTCCTCTCAGGGTTTAACCTAGCTAATACAGGTGAAACTCTCACTTTTTCTTTCTACCAGGGGCTAGCCAAGATTGCCAGCTGGCCCTCAGTAGCCCCATCATTCCCCAGATCCTTCACAAGACTTGGTGCCCCCTACCCAATAAGGAAGGAGTCACTGTGGATCTTCCTGGTAAGAAACAATCACCCAAAGTATCTAGATAAGATCTAGATAAGTGCTTGGAATGGGAAGACAGCCAGTTTCTCAAAAGTAAAGAACTACAGCAGGATCCAACAATTTCCCCACTAGAGGTCTACCCAAGACAGCTAACGTATCCACCCATACAAGTGTACACAAGTAGTTACAAAGCACAAATGATGCAAGTAATCATCAAAAGATGAATACTTCAACTAAACAAACACTGAAGTATTACTCAGCCACAAAAACAATCATACATTGACATATTCTATAACATGGGTGAACCTTAAAAAAACCTTATGTTCAGTGAGAGAATCCAGTTACAAGTTGCATGTTTCCCCTTATATGAAATATGCACATTAGATGAATCTATAGTGTCAAGAAATGGATTAGTGCTTTCTAGGGGCAGAGACAGAAGAGGAAGTAGAATAACTGCCTACAGGGTAAAGGCGTCTAGAATTAGATAACGGTAATGGCTGTACAACACTATGCATGTGATAAACTTTAGGTGGATGACTTTTATGTTATAGGAATTACACCTCAATCAAAAGGTGTAATTAGGCTGCAAATGCACAGAAGATAAGGAGCAGGGCCAGGTGGTGCAGGTCTGTAATCTCAGCTATTCAGGAGGCTAGTGTAGGAGGATCTGAAGTTCAAGGTCAGACTGAGCTTGAGAGTGAGTTCAAGACAACATAGTGAGTCCCCCAAAATAAAATTATTTGGGAAACCATGCATGATGGCCCTTGCATACCATCATAGCACCTGGGTGTCTGAGTCAGGAGGATCACAAATTCAAGAGAAAAAAGAAAACAACAACGACAACAACAAAAATAACCCAAAACAAAAAAACAAAGGGAAGAGGGCTGAACACCACAAGGAGTGGAATAATTCTGTAGTAATCAGAGCCTTTTCTTTCAGGGCCTGTGGGTGAGGGTGGGATTTTAGAAAGGTTCCTTTGACCTACTACTAAAGAAACTAACACATTCTTTCTTCCCCCTTCCCTCTCTAATCTTTGTTCTTTGTTTACAGGCATCATCACCATGCCCAATTTTGTATAGTGCTGTGGTCAGAGCCCAGGGACTGGAGTATGCTGGATGAGCAATCTGCTAGTTGAGCTGCAGCCCTGGTTCTGGCTGAGAATTCCTTTTTTTTCTCCAATTAAAACATTTAATTAATTATTAGTGGTGTGTAGGTGTTTGTGTCATGGCATGTAAGTGGAGGACCATTTGTGAGAATCAGTTCTGTGCTCCCGCCATGTGCATCCCTGGGATTGAACTCAGGCTGTTAGGTTTGCCAGTAAGTGCTTTTACCCACTGAGTCATCTCTCCAGCTTTGAACATTCTTTTTTCATTATTAGGTTCATTTTATGAGTATGAGTGCTTGGCCTGGATATATGAATGTGCACCTGCTGCCTGTGGATGTCAGAAGAGGATGTTGTAATTTCTGGCACTGGAGTTAAGAACAGTTGTAAGCCATCAAGTGAGTGCTGGGAACTGAACTCTGATAGAGCAACAAATGCTTTTAACCAATGAACCATCTCTCTAGCCCCACCTTAAGCATGCTTATTATGAAATCTTTCTGTCAACCTTGTTCTGTCATCCTGAATTTTTTCCCTTGAAAATACTCCCCAACCTCAGCTCAATATACATATCCTCCCAATATACGTGCGTGTCCGTGCATGCACAGGATGAGGGGGATTCATATACAATAGGATTCATGCAGAGGTTGATGTCAGGTATCTTCCTCAATTGCTCACATTATAGAGAGAGGCAGGAATTCTCCCTTGAACCCAGAATCCATCTACGTTGGTAGCCCATCTAAACAGCTGGGATAACAGGCAGCCCAGAATACCCACCAGGCATTTAGGTGGGTACCTGGGATCTGATCTCAGGTCTTCACTTACGTGCACAGCTTTAACCACTGAGCTGTCTTCCTAGCCCCTAACACACATTCTCTGGCAATGGCTTCTGTCTTTGCCTGCCCTATAAGTTTGTGAACAATGCGAGGACAAAGCAGTATATTAATTTTCTGCTCTAAGCCCTTAATGTACTATTAGCATTTGGCAGGTGCTCAGTCAATATCTGTCGAGTGAAGGAAGACAAAAATTCCCATGTGGTTCAGCTAGGTGATCAGAGTGAGCAGCAACAGTAACCTCACAAGGATATCCCATGGTCTTGACATGAGTGATGGGGAGGGGTGCTTCAATTCTGTGGCTTTTCTCCACTGAAGTCGTTGTCCTATTCTAACCATGAGAAGAACTCTAGACAGGTCCTGATGAAGGGACAGTGCATGAAATATCAACGAGGACTCTTGTCTGTCAAGGTCATCAAAAGCAACGGCATTATTAGGAAATGCCGTAGCCCACAGGAGTTGGGAGAAGATGTGATAACTAAATATAATAGGGATAGAAAATGGACATTAGAGGTAGGTGGAGAGATGGATAACTGGGTAAAGTATTTGCTGTGCAAGCATGAGGACCTGACTCTGAGTCCCCAGAACTTTGTAAAGCTGGACAAGTACTGCCTGTCTGTAATTGCAGTATTCCAATGGCAAGATGGGAAGTGGAGACATGTGAATCCACAGAAGCTCTCAGGCCCAGCTAGCTTAATAGCAAGAGACCATGTCTCAATCAATGAGAGGTGTGGTCAGATGTTGGAGGCTGTCCTTTGACTTCCACATGTACAAAGTGCTATGCACCAGCATGTCTAAACACATACATCATAAGACATACACATATATTGATCTAATAAATAAAAAGTATATTAACAAATAAGAGTGTTGGACTGGGAAACTGCTCAGCAGTTAAGAGCTTTTGTTGCTCTTCCAGAGGACCCGAGTTAGGGTACTAATACCCACATCAGTCAGCTCTCAATAGCCTGGACTCCAGGTCTTTTGGACCTGATGTCCTCTTCTGGCCTCTGTAAGTATCTACATGCTCATGCACACAAATTATAACACAGTTGCTTAACTATGAGGACACATGAATAAAAAATAATAAAAATAAATCTTTAGACACTGGAGTGATGGTTCAGTAGTTAATAGCACATACTGCTTTTGTAGAAGACATGTGCTCACATACATAGTTGTACACAAAATAAATAAATAAAAATGTAATAAGACTACCCTTGGCTACATAATGAATCCAAATCCAGCCTGGGCTATAAGACACCTTGTCTAAAAAAAATAAAAACAAAACACCCCAAATTATAAAGATAAGTTATACACATAATATAAATATATGTATATATATATGTTAATAAATTTTTATTTGTGGTGCTTGTGATCAAAGAGTACTTAATGCATGCTAGACAAGTGATCTACTACTGAACTATATCCCTAGCCCCACAAAATGTTTTTCAAAAAAGATTGTGTACAGGGGTAGTTAGAAAAGCAAAGGACTACTATGCCATGCAAGCCATGCCAAATAGAGGGTCACTGATTGGTACCCCAATTCTGTCATACAGGGTCTGAATTTGATTTTCTCACTCTTGAGTCTTTACCCTAAGCTTATCCATGATGCTTCTTCTCTACCTACATATTTTTTTAAAAAAATATAAATATAGGCCAGGGAGGCTCAATTGGCAACGTGCTTGCCTTACATATATGAAGTTCTGGGTTCCACCTCCAGTACCATATAAAACCAGGTATGTGGGCTAGAAGGATAGCTCCTCAGTTAAGAGTACTAGTTGCTTAACTATCCTCCTGAGTTCAGATACCAGCACCCACATAACAAGTCAGAGTATTCCCAGTGTTGTAAGGTCAGAGAGAGGAAGATTGCTGGGATTTGTTAGATGCTAAAATATGATGAGCTCCAGGTTCAGGGAGAGATCTTACCTTACTCAAAGGAATAAGGCAGAGGGTGATGGAGAACCCCCTTATGTCCTTCTCTGGCCTCTGTGAATATGGACATGTGTGTATACTTAAAACACCCCCCCCCCACACACAAACACACAATCAGGTGCTTGTCATTTCAGCACTCAGGAAGTAGAGGCAGGAAAACCAAGAGTTAGGCCAGTTTCAGCTACATTGGGAGATTAAGGCTAATATGAGATCCTCTCCTATTTCAAAAAAAAAAAAAAAAAGAAAAAAGAAAGAAAAAAGAAAAAGAAAAGAAAAGAAAAAAGAAAAGAAAAACCAAACCAAAAAACAAAAACAAAGCTGTGTACAGTGGTGGCTCACACCTTTAATTCCAGCACTCAGGAGGCAGAGACAGGCAAATCTCTGAGTTCAAGGTCAGCCTGGTCCACACAGAATTCTAGGATGGCCAGGGCTACACAGAGAAACTGTCTTGAAGGTCAAATCAAAACAAAGTAAATAAAAAAACAACCCAGAGAGAAATGATATATGAAAACACTGAGTGCAGCTGGCACTTGGTAAGTGACAGTCATTGTTTTTCAGCACAGTGAGCCAGCCTAAGTGAGCATCTTCTATGGAGTGCATGACATTACAAACAGGACTAAAGACCCTAAATTTCTTTTTGGTTTCTTTCCTCATGTCAGATCCCCTCTCTCCCATGAACACTGGGAACAAAGATTCAGTTCAGGATCTGAAGGTTTGAAAAGTACCACCTGATCACAATTTTCCCAAACTGGCTAGCAGACCATCAAGTCCTGGGGCAATGGTCTGGCTGGGTTCCAGGTTCTTTTGTTTGGCAAAGGGTAGGGCACATAGTCCCTGGGACAACAAGGACAGCATTGGGGATTGCTTTCTTCTCATCCCCATTTTCAGCTATTTTTAAGATTTTTTTTTCGTTTTGTTTTTTGAGATAGATCATGGGTAGCTCAAGCTGGTCTCAAAGTTGATATGAAGATAAGGATGACCTTGAACTCCTGATCTTCGGTGGAGGATTTTTAAATGCTGGGATGACAGGTGTAGACCACAGTGCTGGTTAGTTTTAAATGTCAGCTTGCTATAACCTAGAACCACTAGGGAGGAGTGTCTCAATTTCGGAAATATCTAGATCAAGTTGGCCTGTGGGCATATCTTTTGGGGCTTGTCTTGATTTCTTTCTTTCTTTCTCTCTCTTTCTTTCTTTCTTTCTTTCTTTCTTTCTTCCTTCCTTCCTTCCTTCCTTCCTTCCTTCCTTCCTTTCTCTTTCTTTTCTTTTTTCTTTTCTTTTCTTTTCTTTTCTTTTCTTTTTTTTGAGATGGGATTATCTGCATGGTCCTGGATGTCCTGGAGTTAACTCCATAGATCAGGCTGCTTTGAACTCACAGAGATCTGCCTGCGTTTGTCTGCAAAGACCTGTGCCACCACTGCCCAGCTGGACTGTCTTGACTGTTAACTGATTCAGCTCACTGTGGGTGACACCATTCCCTATTCTGGACCCTGGACTCTATGAGAGTGAAGAAATCTTGCTAAGTGAAAGTCAAGCAGTAGACAGCATGGGTAGTCTTTACTCTTTGTTTTTGACAGTGACTAACCACCTAAGCTCCTGCCTCAACTTCCTGATGAACTTTTGGAATTGTAAGCTAAAATAAACCCTTCCTTCCTCAAATTATTTTTGGTCAGGGTATTCTCCTAAAAATTCATTTTATTGCCAGATGGTGGTGGCACATGCTGTTAAACCCAGCACTTGGGAGGCAGAGGCAGGAGAATCTCTGAGTTTGAGGCCAGCCTAGTCTACAGAGTAACAGGACAGTCAGGGCTACACAGAGATACCCTATCTTGGAACCCCCAACCTCCAATTTCTTAAAAATTTATTTTGGAATTTGAGGAAAGGCCTTCCTTTTGTAGCTTTGACTGTTCTGGAACTAGCTGGGTAGACAACTAGGCTGGCCTTAAACTCAGAGATCCTACCAGCCTTTGGCTCCCAAGTGTTGGGATTAAGGGCCTGTGCTACCATGCCCCATGAAATTCATCTTATTTTTAATTATGTGTATTTGTGTCTCTGTGTGGGTATATGTATGTGAATGCCAGTACCCCCGGAGACCAGAAAAGGAGTCAGATCCCCAGAGCTGGAGTTACAAGTAGTTGTGAGCCCTGCAACATTAGTGCTGGGAACTGAACTTGGTTCGTATGCAGAGCAGCAGGTACTCCTAACTGCTGGACCATCTTTCAAATTTCTGGAGATGGTACATTATCCCACCAACAGAAATGAAACTATACAGCCAATAAGTCTAGTTT